GTCTGTGTGTGTGTGTGTGTGTGTGTGTGTGTGTGTGTGTGTGTGTGTGTGTGTGTGTGTGTGTGTGTGTGTGTGTGTGTGTGTGTTGTGTGTGTGTTGTGTGTGTGTGTGTGTGTGTGTGTGTGTGTGGGTGTGTGTGTGTGTGTGTGTGTGTGTGTGTGTGTGTGTGTGTGTGTGTGTGTGTGTGTGTGTGTGTGTGTGTGTGTGTGTGTGTGTGTGTGTGTGTGTGTGTGTGTTTTTTTTTTTTTTTTTTTTAAAACCTTCACTTTTATTAGTTTGTGCCCATGACAATTTGTTTTTTTTATAAACACATTTAAATTACACAACTCCTACGGAAAAGCAAAGCTATGTGAGTTTTGTTGGAATATTTCAAAAAAAAAAAAAAAGCAACAACACATTTTTAGGAACTTTAAAAAAAAAATATGTTTGTGTGTTTTCCACACGTGACGTTTGGGAAGTTGGGTGGCTCAAATCTATCCTTTGGGATAGCATAATTACCCAGCATGTTTCGATAGCAGGGAGGGAAAGCCTCTTTGTAGGTGCGTCAAAAATACAAATAATCAGAAAGAACAGGCCGACTAAATTTACCAGCTAATAGCAGTAGTCACATTGAGAATAAGAACTGTTTGACAGAGTATACTCAGTAATTTATTTTTAATTCATCCCAAACAAAAGAATCACAATTCCAGTCCCAACTATACCCTTAGTTACCTATAACAACAAGCCTGGTGGAGTTCAGTGTTATTCTTTGCCTCCTCTGAAGATCATGGTAACTCACTTTTACATCATCTACAGACAACAACAACTAAAAATGTACAAGCGTGATTCAAGATATTGTTTATTACATTTGAAGCAAATTTTTTTTTTATTTCTGTACAACAATAAAGTAATATAACAAAGTATTTTACAAACACTCCAGCAGCATTTTTTTGGTTTACAAACAGAGATAGTCCAGTACGGACACAAGCGCCATAACGGCATCTGTGTTTTGTGGATTAATATGGTCCATTTTTCGGATTGAAGATTAATTAATAAGTGATTGAGTCAATTGTTTCTGGGTTAAAACAAACATCAAAAATCGTTCATTAATTTACGTATATATATATTCATACAAATGTACATTTGAGCTTTCGCACATATACATACGCACACATATGCCTAGGTACTAATGTTTGCATTATAATCCCAAACACACTCACACACAATTATACAAACACATTTGTGGACGCTTTTTGCATATTTACAAATGAGTTCATGTTTGAAAGACTATGCAATATTATTCTTAAAAACCATTCTACGACGTCTTTTAATTTATTTCTCTGACTTTTTAGTTTTTACCAGAAACAAATTAAGTCTACATTTTTACAACCCAGCCTTCTGTGAGTGTGTAATATAAATTATACAACTACTGAATGTAGTAATTAAATCATTTCCCTGTGTTTCACTAATAGTAGATCTCCCTCTTTTTTACTAATAGAGTATCTCCCTCTGTGTCACTAATAGTTGTAATTCCTCTGTTTCACTAATAGTGGATCTCCCTCTGTTTTACTAATATTAAATTTCTTCCTGTTTCACTAAAAGTGGATCTTCCTCTGTTGCACTAATAATGAATCTTCCTGCTTTCAAAACAGTGAATCTCCCTCTGTTTCCCTAGTAGTGGATCTCATTGCAATAGACATTAATCTGTCTATGTTAAGCTTCGTGATAAATGCCTCCATTTTCCTAATGATCATCTTGACAACAGACATTAATAACTATGCCTCATTAATATAGAAGCATCGTGGCCTCTGACGCTGATCTGATTAACACAGAAGGGAGTGTAGACAATACCCCCTGTGATGAAGCCAGTCAAAGACTACGTAGTTTACTGACAGTGCCCGCGAGCGTGAATATTCAGCATGAAAATGGAAGATCACCAGAACACATGTATAGCTTACGTCACGTGGAAATCTCATTTGTGTTGTGGTGAGAGGGCGATTTGGACTGCTCACATTTTTGTACACTTTTAAATAACGTAGTCGCCGTGGCGGAGCGGATAGACGCTTGCCACGGATCGGAAAGTCGGGAGTTCGCTCCTTGGCGGAGCCGGACTTTTTTTCAAATATGGCCTTAGCTCCCAGGTCGACCCAGCGTTGAGCGGGTGCAGTCCCGGGAAGTAAAGGCGGTCGGCGTTGAGCTGACCACATCACCCATCTTGTGCTGATTGGTCTATAAAAATACAGGTCTAGCCCTATATGCCATATACGCCTAAAAGCGTGGAAAAGGGTCTTTTACTTTTTTATTTTAAATAACATAACTGTGATGTACGGATGTTATACGCTAACCTGTCTCTTAAGAACCGACGCTTGGGTGGGTGGGTGGGGAGGGGTAAAGACCACAGACATTTGATTTATTTGTTGAGATTCTAAGCAAGATCAAACGCCCAGTTAATAAAAACATTAAATTGTCCACATCAAGATAAGACAGTCGTTCTGTTATTTGTTTAAAAACTGGTCCTCGTATGAAATGAAGGGATTTGAGGCAGGGACTAGGCGACCTGGAAGTTCAAGGACACTAGAGGCAGAGGTCTACGAAGAGGAAAATGCTTTGCCGGGTTGGCAGAGGGATGCCAAAGAACATCAATGGTCAAATGTTTCAAGGAAATAAAGAACGCCTTCCTCCTTTGCTACAGAAACGACGGAGGTCAATCGCCCACATATGCATAGACAGTCATGTCTGTTGCATCTGGAATAAAAAAAAAAAAAAAAACCATGAACCGTATTTAGTGACACGATGTACGAGACAAGCATTTTAACTTCATGACCGTACATTTGTTCTTACCATCGAATAATGAATTCGAATTTGAATTTATTGATGTTTTACTTTTCTCTAGAAGATAGATTAAGTAAAAAAAAAAAAAAAAATCAGAGCGGAGCAACACGTATTAGTGTGTCTTCTAAAAAAAAAAAACCACACTCACACACACAGTGCATATGTTAGATATGAGTAGACTGTCATTAGGATATGTCAAACTATATTATATATATATATATATATATATATATATATATATATATATATATATATATATAGAGAGAGAGAGAGAGAGAGAGTAGAGAGAGAGAGAGAGAGAGAGAGAGAGAGAGAGAGAGAGAGAGAGAGAGAGAGAGAAAGATTGTTCTTACCTCTTCAATGGACCATGGGAGAAATGCATTGCTAATTTCTAGAGAGTGAAGGAAGTAACGGTATGTCGAAATGGGAGGTACACAAATAGGATTGTAGGGTAGAGGAAAAAGGAATCTCAGGCAACAATCAAGTAACCAGGGTGTAGGGTGTATCAACAATTGATCACAACGTTGATCATCCTTTCTAATAGTAATATAAATGCACAAGTAATTAGATTAAATAAAATGTAACCTCACTTTACCTACCTGCCAAAAGTCGAATGCCTTCAAAGGAGGGTGCTCATGGCGGGTGGGGGGGGGGGAAAGAGGTATTATTGTTTGAAAGGAGAGTATATAACCCCCCCCCCCCACCCCACACCCAACCTTCCGCCTATTTTATCTATTTCAACCTGGTTGAGGTTCATCAAGTTTGACGTTTATTAAAAAAAAATTATATATATTTAAAGAACTTGGTTCCTACCTTCCGAACATTATATTTAGGACAAGTGACATTGTCTGGTCATTCTAGCCAACACTAAAACGGCTTGTTTGGGCTTCGTAGGCATGATACTTCTCTGTGAAGTCGGCGTCATCTATCCGTGGCGTTGTCTCGGGATAAAAGTAAAAAAAAAAAAAAAATAGCGTGTGGTGTCATGACAAATTTTGGCTCATACAGATTCTAGCATGCGTGTCATATCCCAAACCAATCAACTGTTTTTGCGTCTTAACAGAACGTATACCAAAGCGAACTTATACCAAGGTGCTATTGTACTTGTATGTTTGAAAATACGTAAAGCCGTCTCTCTCGGTAGCATTTATGCTAAATATATTCAGCTTGTTCTTGTTATCACCATATCTGTTCTAACTCTTTGTCTTCTACTGTCAGAGTTTCGCAGCTCTATTCCTGCCGGCAATCTGGTGTATGCATGATTGCTCACGGATTAGACTAAATTCTGCTTTGCCCACGGAGTCGGAAGCATGTTTATTAGAAACCCAACGCGGGGGATGTTAAATAACACTTACAGTATAGTGAAATCTACCAGGCTTAGTAGCATCAAACATCTCTCAGAAACACCCCATATTTTCCCAAGGAACAAAAGCCACTACATATCCTGCTTCTATGAGATGGATTAGAGAGAAAGGAGTATACAATTACCATGAGCTCATGGGGACTGATCCTATGGCTTACTATTCAGTAAATGCGTTTGCATTTTACTTATCCTGGGGTATTATGCCGAAAACAAATAAACTGTTGGCACTATTGCTCCCCTTTAGCGTCTGTGTTCCCACGCAAAGCAAGCTACTGGGTGCATCGTTGGAAATGGCAATGACAATATTATAACATTTAATCTAAAGACATAGCGCTTTTTGTAGAAAAGGGGAGAAATAATGCAGTAAAAGTACTTGATAGCAAAAATCATTTTAACAACGACAACAAAGATAAGAGGAAGCATCACGTATGTCAAAAAATAAAACAAAACAAAAATAGATAATTAGACGAACATATGCTATAGACTGACACAACTAGATTCAATTTTTGGTAGCCCTTCTAATGGACTTGCCTATTCCTCAGAACTTTTACACACTGCAAGCGACACAAGCTTATCTTTACTAACAGTACACTAATACGTTGTCTTATAACAGTATGAAACATATCAGCTCTTGACTCCTTTTCGGGTATCTTCTATCACTGTACACGTATATATATCACACGGCAACTGGACACCGACACACAAATTATACAGTCTTCATAAAAACTTTAAACAAAACACAAAGATAAGCCATAAGACTAACAATCGTAAAACATCATGGTAAAACATGTTATCACAATGGTTTTTGTCTTATACTAAGAAATTGTTATGCTAGTCTTTTGACTGACTTAATTCGCCTGTAAAATATCTTTTTGAAGGCAATCCTGAAGCTCGGGTTGAAGATGGTGTAAATGATAGGATTGATGAGGCTGTTGAAGTAGCCAAGCCAAAGGCACAGGCTGAAGACAAATATAGGAATGTCGCAGTTATTCCCACATAACGGGGCTACGACTGCAACTATAAAGAACGGAAGCCAACACGCAACAAACACACCGGTTATTATTCCTAGAACTCGAGCCGCTTTTCTTTCGCGCCTCATTTCCATCTTTTCCCGCCGATAGCGTTCTTTATCTGCTTGTCTCAGACGTTTGGAGACATTATTGTTGGAGGCAACACTCTGTTTAGGTAAGGAGACTTTTGTAGTGCATGCTGGTACGGTCAAAGTATTTGTTAATATCCGGCTCATGCTGGAATCCTTCTCAAGGAGCGCTTGTCCGTTTTCTTGGACGTCCAGAGGGGACTCCATGTCCACCCGGGATAGTTCGTTAGCGTTTGTGCAAGAAGGCATGTACATGCTGATGCCGTCCTGACTTACATCACTGCCCGATGAGTGTCTTGTGTTAGTTCTCTGTGATACTTCTGTAGTAACAGCTGGAAGAGGGACGTGGAGTGTGTTGCCTTTGGCCTGCCGTGCACCGAAACGTTTCTTTCGTATTCTATAGCGTGCGGCACGGTATATTTTGAAGTTGATAATGAGCATAAGAACAAGTGGGCAGTAGAAGGCGCCCACGGTTGAAAATATAGTATAACCGTGGTCCTGTGAAATTTGACACTGGCCTGAATACTGTGGGCCGTCTGATTCGTTTTTCCAACCAAAGAGCGGAGGGATGGAGATACATACAGAAACCATCCACACAATTGCCACCATGAACAAGATCTGTCTTGCATTACGCCTCCGAATATAATCGATGTTGGACACGGCCCAGTAGCGATCGAAGGCTATAGCAACAAGATGTAGAATAGAGGCAGTACAGCAAAGAACGTCCATAGAAATCCACAGATCACACACAATGTTTCCAAGAAACCAGTGAATACTAATCTCATTGATTAGACTTAGGGGCATCACCAGTACGGCCACGAATAAATCTGTCATTGCCAAAGACAAGATAAGGTAGTTTGATACCCCTTGAAGAGATTTCTCTATTACAATGGCGGTGATGACGAAGATATTGCCTAGGATGATTGCCAGAATCATTCCTCCCAGCACAACACAAATGAGCACCATCACCGGTTCACTATACCTGGGCTGATGGTGATAATAGCTTACCGAGCTAACGTCTGGGTCCTCACTGTTGTTATGGTGAGTACTAACTACATTATTGAAGAAAGTGAAAGCTTGTGACGTGTTACTCAGAAACCAATCGAGGGAATAATTCCCGGACTCCAGGGCGCTGGTTGTATTTGTTACATTAGGAGACATGTCATTTGACGTCAGCAGATCATAGACAGCCAATTCTCCGTGTGCTGCTGTGTATTGTGTTGTGTGCTGTGTTGTTTCCAGTGAAGCTGCTTCATGATTGTCATTGTCTCGTTGTGAGGATGCCCCCGCTTTGGAAGTATTCAGATCAGACTTCTGCGTGTAGACCATTAAATAAACAGAGCTGGAAAGCCCGGATTATAAGGCCAGACATTCGATTACACTGTGCTAGCAAATTACAGTCATGGATGCTAACTAGGTCGAGATGGGATTTGGATGTGTAATATCCCCTGCATAATCTGTAGATGTGCTAAGTAGATGTAATAATTGATGGACATTATGTAAGATGACAGTTGTCGTCTGCTTGCGGCAAATGATTTCTCCCAAAGTCGTTTATTTTTTGCCATAAGCATTTATAAAGCTTCGTCCAATGTATAAAAGTCTGTGCATCACATCTGCAAAGAGAAATACAAGACTACATTAATGCAAGCGGGACAAGCAGTCTGTTGAATGTGTGTGTGAGTGTGTGTGTGGTGGGGGAGTGTGTGTGTGGTGTGTGAGTGTGTGTATTGTGTGTGTGTGGTGTGTGTGTGTGTGCTTGCGTGAGTGCGTGTGTGTGTGTGTGTGTGTGTATGCTAAACTGCTTGCCTGTAGTCATATGTTCAAATCTTCCTTGAAACTGGAGTTTTAACAACCGATTCATAAAACGAAAAGTATTATAGGAAGCAATAGTGGTAGCGCGATGTTTATCAAATCACCCATGCAGTGTGCCTTTACTTCCCAAGAAATGTCCTGATACATTTTGTGGGCTAGGTGAACTATTAAACCTTGGGCAAACAGTAAATAATCTGCCTTATTGTGGACTCAAACCCTAGACTCGAACTGGCCACTCTGCTATCACATTTCGCGTTTTATGGAATTGCCATTGATCTTTAGCAAAGCGACATAACATTCATTATTCGACTGGCAGTAATATTTTAGGATTGTGCTACTGAAGGGTATGAACATATTACATTTTTTACAGAATTATGTTTAAATGTCGACTGCCCTACAACCCAAAACCTCATGCGTCTACTACAGGTAGAATATGTCGGCTTCTCATGCATTCCCCACGTAATCTTCAATTTGCCGTTTCACTGGAACTGGAAAGGAGCAACAGAGAAATAAAGCACAAACTCTCAACCAATCGCAGATAACCATCCATAATCAATATTAATTAATTATTTTCTCCTTCTTTCTTTGTCTTGCTGATGATGGCGTAGAGCCTCGCACAGAGGATCTGATGTAGTTTCCTATCCTTTGCTTGTTTCGTACCTTGTATTAACGAATGTTAATAAATAAATAATTATATTTATAATAATAATTAATCTAACATTGATCCTGCTAAGTGTATAATCTCTTTTCACTTTCGGCCACAAGACATTTTATACAGACGTGTTTAGGTTTTGATATTATAATCTTTTGGAATCGAACTAAGATGTTAATAAGATGTAATGAGAATGAGAATCATTTTTGTGTAACCCGATTTCGTTAGGCTGAGCAGACCAAATGTATTAATAAGACGACACAAGATACAATGGTTGGATCATGTAGGGCATTTCAACCACACATCATGTGTTGCTAGGAATTTAAAGAGTTAACACTTTTTAGTCCCAGGTAGGCATTTAACTCGTTGATTACTATGTAATATGTACCTGCATTATTGGTTGTTTAGATTTAGATTCAAGGAGTTAAATATTTATACAAAGACAGCAGAAAGGTTAAAGTAACATTTGAGTTATCACATGTTAATATAAGTGCTACTTGGGGAACAAGGTGTTTAGAAAAATCATTTCACGTAATGATTAACCAGTAAATTGCAAAGTGCGCTCATTGGGGCTGAATGAGTTAAAATACCACAAATCTATGTTAATAAAAATGGTAATTTTCCGAGTTTGTTAACTATAGACTCGGAAACTACTGAACCATAACATAACGTTGCCTTTGACTCAAAGCGTGATTTTTTTGTCAGAAAATCGCACAAACCACGAACGACGTAGCTCCAGCAACGGTCAAATCATTATTTGTTTCGTTGCCGGCCCGGATTTGTTTTAAGTTGATTAGCCATTTTTGACTGCTGAGCTCTTATTGAACTTTGCGTTAGTAAATAATTTCATTTCCACTATCTGCTTGAGTATTTGGTAGCGTAGTTGTAACTATTCTGCCTATCATGCGGGTGACCCGCGTTCGATTCCCCGCTAGGTGATATAATATTTTTTTTAGCTCCTAACTGGGCGGCTGGCATGTTGTGGTGTGGTTTATGGCTAGACTGCGATATCTACGCCTTTTTCGGTTTTGGGATTTACAGCTAGCCTGCGACAGCGGCGACGTGATGCTCAATGGTCATGTCACGGGTAATCTTCGTTCGCCCTCGATAAGGCCGTTGGCACGTTGTGTTTTGGTTTACAGCTAGGCTGCGATATCTGACCTAAACTCTTCAGTCTTCGGTAGTATAGTTGTAAGTATTCCATCCTTCACGCGGGTGACCGATGTTCGATTCCCCGCTGGGTGATAATTGTTTTTTTTTCTTCTTAAAATGGTAGTTGTCAAGGTTGTGTTGTGGTTTACAGCTAGGCTGCGATATCTGTGTCTTTCGCCCAAAGACATCCGATTACAGTTAAGTCCTAATTAGCCTCCCCGCGTCGTTTCTCGATCAAACACTATTCGACGATGACAGAAACTGTTGACTAAGACGGCTTACAGTCCAGTTTAGTTTGAGTGGACACGGATGCCAAGGTCAGTTAAAAATCGTTCCTTCGGAGAAGAAGAGATGACTGGTGCGGGGTATTTTTCTCCGCTATTCGCGAGTATAGTGTACTGTTTACTATGGGTTCTATCACTTGTTACGTGATGAAGTTTTTTTTTAATGTCGGGGGCAAAAATAAACTAAATAGTCCGTGGCGATAGCCACGGCGCTAACTCCTCTTTTCTACACCGACCTACACAGACTTTAGTGACAATTTTTGTTGTTGTTGTTGTGATGGTGGTGGTGGCAGTGGTTGAAGTAGTACTGGTACTGGATGGGTGATGTGGTAGCTGTTACACTGGCAACATTTACTTCTCAGCACAAGTTAATGCTACCTATTTCAGTCTGGGTGGACACGGATGCCAAGCTCAATGAGGATGATATGATTGGGGGAGGGGGGAGGGGTTATGCCAGACACAGTTAGCTGAGAGAGCTTTTAATATTATTTTAAAGTTCTCATTTCTTAACTATTTCTATTTTAACAATTTCGCCATCGATGATTTTTCAATCCTTCGGAGAGGATGATATGACTAGTGCGAGGGGAAGGGGGGGGGGGGGATATGACAGACGCTGTTAGCTGAGAGCTATTTTCTTTCCTCTCCATTTCACCAGTCTGGGTCACAGCAACGCGTTGCTGGGTACAGCTAGTGGTGTTACAAAATCGCGAAAACATAATGTTTGTTGTTAATATTTGGGTAATTTACCCCTTTTCAGCATTCACACATTTAATCAAACCATTAGCGGCTTCAGCACATGGCAAAACGTTCGCCTGCCGGCCCGAAAGTTTCTAAAAGTGGACGAACAACGACAACTTTTCGCCGGTATTTACAGTAGGTGAAGAAAAAGAAGAAGAAGAAGAAGAAGGAGAAGAAGAAGAAGAAGAAGAAGAAGAAGAAGAAGAAGAAGAAAAAAAAGAAGAAGAAGAAGAAGAAGAAGAAAAAAAAAGGGAGGGAAGGAGGAGGAGAAGAAGCAGCATTGCAATATATTGAAACAAAAAGCTGCCAGACATTTCCTGACACTGACGTAACCTAACTTTGTCCGTCTCTAGTAGTCTGCAGGCAAAGACCAAAATGTGTGTGCTCACGGATTTGTTTGCTGGTAACTGAAAACTGCTGCCTTCATAAACACGAATTTGGTCTTGCAGACAGATTACCTTTTGTTTATTTTTAAATCCTATTGCATCAAATCCGGTAAGACAAAACAGGCAAAAACATCAATAAACAACATTGTTTCACACGTTACTGATTAAATTATTAATAACTTGCATTCGTGGATAACATAATACTTTTAGTCTTCCGTGGCATATTCTTCCTGGCTTAGTTCTATTCATTTCTTGCTCTGAACCTTTGTTACAGTTCTAAAAATAAGATTCTCACTCATTACACCAAAGTTTCAAGATTTTCCAAACGGAGAAATAGTGTTTGCAACTAATAATTTATATAATTTTGTTTTAATTTGTCCTGTTGGTCGGCGTCTGTAGCTCGGGGAATATGATCACAGTTTTGTAATTCCGGCAAACAGAGTTCGATTTCTTTGTAGGCTCATTTTTAGCAGACAACACTACGTTATTTCTGGACATGATATTAACAGAGGTGACGGGAGTCGAAATAGTACTACTAGCACGCTCAACCAGGAAACAGAGGACAACTCACACATACATAATCGAGCTTCACGACCGCAGTCTTTATAAACGAATACCATACAAAGGCAGAAGAATAAGAATTCTTGACACCATTATCGTCACGGTGGACTCTCGAAAATAATTACCCCCCCCCCCCCCCCCCAAAAAAAAATAATAATAATACAGGAACAGTATAAGAAGAAGTGTGGAAACGAAACCTAAAAAAGGAACAAAAATATCTAGAATAATGTTATTATTAGTATTTGTTGTTGTTGCTGTTGTTGCTGTTACAATAGTAGCAGCAGTAGTACTGGTGGTGGTAGTAGTGGTGGTAGTAGTAGTAGTAGTGGTGGTGGTAGTAGTAGTAGTAGTAAGTAAGTAAGAATATAGGTGAGTAAGTAAAATAATAATAAAATAAATAAAGCCAAAAAACAAAATTGTATTTAGATCAAGGTTTACTGAACATTTATTCCTGCTGGGCTCAGACTATCTACACTGAGAACCCTAGCAAAATTTTATGGCAGTTACATAGAGACTTGTTGACATGCCTTCATACGATGATAACCATGCCTTGTTTTCCCTATATATGTCTTTTTGCATTTTTTTTTTCTCTTAGAGGTGACATTAATTGAGTTTCGGGATTCACAAGTTATTGCTAATTTTATTTAGAACGAATTTGGGTGCTGCGTGGTCTTAAGCCATGGTGTCCAACTCAAGTGCTAGAGGCTCTGGGTTCAATCCCTAGTAAGGGCTGAAATTTTCTTT